GCTCTCACCTGTAATTAACTTTGTAACACTTAGCATTCTTTGGATGTGCTTCGATATTAATTTTTCCCTCTCTTCCTTTTTCTCCCCCCTTTTAAAATTTAAACAGGAGGAGGAATACTGCTGCATGGTAGGATCTTAAAATAGCAGCGCGCGCTTCCATTAAAAACGATCTCCTGCTTTGAATGTGCTCGCACATCCCCGTTTAAGCACACTAAGCTGTGCTTTCTTTCTTTATTCCTTCCCTTAATCAAATATTTGAAAAACTTCTAAGGCAAGAGGAGAGGGAGCAAGCATTTTCTGCAGACGGTTTGAAGGAACGTGGCCAAGAGAGCCTGTTTCTGCTGTCTTCAAAACTTCCTTGCTGTTTTAGGGAACTGGGTTGCCGAAGAGAAATTCTTAAGGTCTTCCTAAGGATACCCAAAATAATTTGGGATCACCATCTTAATCTATGGAATGACCTAAGCTATTCATGGGATGGTCAGTCCATTTTTTGTTGCCGGCTGATGGATCCAAGGTGAGCTGCACTTCTAAGAGCTTTGTTGTTAGTTGGGAAGTCGTGTCCGACCCATTGTGACCCCATGGACAACGTTCCTCCAGGCCTTCCTGTTCTCTACCATCCCCGGGAGTCCATTTAAGCTCACGCCGACTGCTTCAGTGACTCCATCGAGCCTCCTCGTTCTCTGCCATCCCCTTCTTCTTTTGCCCTCAACCTTTCCCAGCATTAGGCTCTTCTCCAGGGAGTCCTTCCTTCTCATTAGGTGGCCAAAGGATTTGAGTTTCACCTTCAGGATCTGGCCTTCTAAAGAGCAGTCAGGGTTGATCTCCTCTAGGACTGACCGGTTGGATCGCCTTGCAGTCCAAGGGACTCGCAGGAGTCTTCTCGAGCACCAGAGTTCAAAGGCCTCAATTCTTTGGTGCTCAGCCTTCCTTATGGTCCAACTTTCACAGCCAGACATTGCAACTGGGAAAACCATCGCCTTGACTATACACACTTTTGTTGGCAGGGTGATCTCTCTGCTTTTTGCAGTTTCCCAACTTATAAGAAAAGTATGATTGGGCTTAGATGCCCTTTGGATGATTAGGACCATTATCAATGTCCCATTATCCACCACAATTGTTGCCCACACCAGCTGAGGAGGATGGGAGCAATAGAATAAAGAATAACAAGAGTTGGAAGGGACCTTGGAGGTCTTCTAGTCCAATCCCCTGATCAGGCAGGAAACACTGTACCGTTTCAAACGAACGGTTGTCCAGTCTCTTCTTAAAAACTTCCAGTGTTGGAGCATTCACAACTTCTGGAGGCAAGTCGTTCCACTGATTCATTGTTCTCACTTCCGGGAAATTTCTCCTTAGTTCCAGGTTGCTTCTCTCCCATGACGAGTTTCCATCGGTTGCTTCTTGTCCTGCTTTCAGGTGACCCAACAGATTTCGTGAGTTGGGCGAAACTGGAATAAACGGAAGTGCATCAACGTCATCCTTTCCCTTACCACGAAATGTCCTTGAACAGGTCTAAAATTGCTGATTAAAAAAGAAGAACAAAAGCAGACGCCTGTGAAAAAAAAACTTGGCAGCTTGGCATTTTCTTCTAAAGCCATCCGCCAGCTCATTCCCGGCCCCTGGCATTTCTCTGTATTCAGCCGAATCCCCGCGGCCCCCGCTATCCTTCCATCTGCAGGCGTCGGGAGCATCCAATCTCTGCTTTTGGGCTTGGCGTTTTCCCACACCAACAAAGTCTTGATTGGAAAGCTCCCGACTGCGGCTCCCGGTCTCGCTGGGCTCAGCCAGCCACGGTGCCCGAAGGAAGACGACAATTTTGTTGGAATGTTTCTGGGCTCCGCAGATGTGGCTTCGATGCCTCTCGGGGAGAGGAGAAAAGCTGCCTCATCGTTGTTTTTCCCTTGCAGCTGTCTTCTCCTCCTGTTCTCTGGATAAAGGATTTGGGGTAGCAGAGCTGGGATTTGGGGAGTGCTGCCTGTCGAACAGCTTGGCACATCTTTATTTATGAAGTTGTGTGTTTCGACTAACCTGTTCCTTCCTCGGGAAAATCTTCTGCAGGCCTTGAAGACTACAAGTCATTCTTGACTTAACAACAGGGCATTTAGAGACTGTTCAAAGTTACAATGGCACTGAAAGAAGGGACTTAACGACCATTTTTCACACATATGACTATTGGGTCACGTGATTGATATCAGACACTGGGCAACTGGTATGTATTTGTGACGGTTGTGGTGTCCCGGAGTCATGTGATTAACTTTTGAAACCACCTGACAAGGAAAGTCAATGGGAAATCCAGATTCACTTACTGTAAGAGCCGTACTACTAACTGAGCAACTCCACTTAACGACTGTGGCAAGGAAGGTCATAACATGGGACAAAACTCATTTCACAACTCTCTCATTTAGTAACAGAAATTTGGGGTTCAATTGTAGTCGTAAGTCGAGAACTACCTGTATATCCATCATCAGACATACCTAGGTTGCAATCATGGTTTAGGGGCCATTTCCAAGAGGGCTCTGCTGCTCCAGAAATCAAAGGAGGCATCCTTCTGCCTATTAAATAGATAGATGTTCTCCAGGTTCTTCCCCAAAATGTTTCCATCTGTCCCACCAGCATTGCAGTAGGATCAGGCAGGCCAATAGACCCAGCAGGGATTCTGGGAATGTGACTTCTTGTAGGGTGTAAGGATCTTGAGACCCTGCCCTTCACTGACCCCTTTTGTAAGGACCAAAAGATCAAAACAGGACAATTATGGGCTCTGTTTTCACTCCACCGACCATTTTGCATCCCCTACATTTTTTTTTCCTAAGGCAGAGTCTCTCAAACTCAGCCATTTTAAACCGGATGGACTTCAACTCCCAGAATTCCCCAACCTGGCCGGAGAATTCTGAGAGTTTAAGTTCACCCAGCATAAACTGGCCACGGTTGAGAAATGTCGTTCTAAGGCAAGAGCGACATTCCGTTGCAGGGTGAGAGGATCCAAAGTGGGACCTTCCAACAGATACGGCCATCCTACCATTCCAGAGTTGGGCACCAGGATTAATCTTGTTCAACCCTTTGCAGGAAAACTGATTCTACCATCTTCCAGAGATGGATGCCCGTCCGGGCTCTTCTTAAAGATCTCCAGAGGTGGAGAACCCAACCCTCAACTTCCATCGATAGATTCTTCAACCCTGATGTGTGAAATGACATGAGTGTCTGCAGAGTGTGGCCATTAAGTCCAGGTGGCCACGATGGCAGGACCAAACTCTGCCTGTTTATTGCCATCATGAGCCACAGTGGTTAGAGTGCAGTCCTGCAGGCTACTTCTACTGACTGCCGTCTGCCTGCAATTTGGCAGTTCGAATCTCACTAGGCTCAAGATTGACTCAGCCTTCCATCCTTCCGAGGTCGGTAAAATGAGGACCCAGATTGTTGGGGGGCAAGAGCCTGACTCTGTAAACTGCTTAGAGAGGGCTAAATTCCCTCCCTCCCTCCCCTCCCTCCCTCCCTCTTATTCCCTTTCTCATTCTCCTTTCTGGTGGCACAGTGGTTAGAATGCAGTACTGCAGGCTAACTCTGCCCACTGCCAGCAGTTCCATCCTGACAGGCTCAAGGTTGACTCAGCTTTCCGTCCTTTGTCGGTAAAATGAGGACCCACATTGTTGAGGGGCAAGATGCTGACTCTGTAAACCGCTTAGAGGGCTGTAAAGTGGTATATAAGTCTTAAGTGCTGTTGCTATCACATCAAACATTGGTGGAATTTCAATCACACCATCGTAGCTGCTATCTTGATTTTTCTTTTTCTTTTTTGACTCACCCTGCAGGTATCTACGCAGTGACACGTATTGTGTTGTTGGTGTGCTGGGGCTTAGGATGGTGTATTTTTGTGTTTTGGGTAGGTGCCATTTTACAGATAGCGTGAAGAGTAGATGGGTTAATGCAATTTTTATTCCTTTTTCTTTCTGCTTCAATGCTTTTTGATTTCTGCCACTCGGAAAGAAACTCTTAAAATGTCTTCAGCCAAAAGGGAAGCGGGATCTGCTAATCCCTGCAGATTTTCAGTCCATTGGGGGGGGGAGGGGGAAACAAATCGACTTGATTCACTGGGGATTTGATTTGCAGCAATCCATAAAGCTCCATTAAAGTGATCTGCTTTGGGTACTCTGAAGCCCATTACGCGAGGCTTGGCGCATTTCAGTTTCTCTTCTCTTTTAGGGGTGTCTGTGAGAGATTGTGCTTTTTGCTCCAGATTTTAAGAAGAAAGTTTACTTTTTAGCCATTTTCTTCTGTTAAAAGAACCGTGGGCTGTGGGGTTTTTCTTTTCTTTTCATGGAACAGCGACCTCTTGTGGTGTACCCTAGTGAAGCGAGCAACGGAGGTTGAAATGAAAGAAGAATTTTAATTTTTTGTGAGTTTTGCACTTCTATTTTCGTGATAGTTCTTTGGGCCTGGTTCGGTCTGATGTCTTCGGTAGTGGTTCCTTCAGCGTCTCCTTTTCTGCCCGTTCAGTAGCTCGACTGATAAATACAGGTAGCCCTCGAGTTACGACCAAGATTTCTGTAGCTAAACGAGACACTTGTGAAGTGAGTTTGGCCCCATTCTTGTTGAAGTTGTTAAGCGGATCACTTCAGCTGTTGACTTAAGTGACGTGGTTGTTAAATGAATCTGGCTTATCCGTTGACTTGGCTTGTCAGAAGGCTGCAAAAGGGGGATCGCGTGGCCCCCTCCGGGACGCGGCGACTGTCTTAAATATGAGCCGATTGCCAATTTTGATCGTCTGACCGCGATGGAGATGTTGCAACCATCGTACGTGTGAAAGTCACTTTTTTTCCATGCCGTTGTGACTTTGAACGGTCGCTAAATGAACTTTTGTAAGTCGAGAACCATCTGTAAATTAATTCAGTGGGTTTGAATTGGGCAGGGATGGACCTCAATCTTCCCAACTGCAGTTGCTTATCAATGAACACCCCATGAAGCCCTTCTCTCCTTAAAGGTGCTTTGTTGTTCTTTTCCTCCCTCAGGAATTACTACTACATCACCATCCTGAGGGACCCGGTTTCCCGCTACCTGAGCGAATGGAGGCATGTCCAAAGAGGAGCCACCTGGAAGGCCTCCTTGCATGTCTGCGATGGGCGGTCGCCCACTTCCGAGGAACTTCCGAGCTGCTACTCGGGGGACGACTGGTCAGGCTGCTCTCTGCAGGAGTTCATGGATTGTCCCTACAACCTGGCCAACAACCGTCAAGTCCGCATGCTGGCTGACCTGAGCCTGGTGGGCTGCTACAACCTGTCCGTCATGCCGGAAGAGCAACGGAACAAGGTCCTCCTGGACAGCGCCAAGGAGAACCTCAAGCGCATGGCCTTCTTCGGCCTGACGGAATTCCAGCGGAAGGCCCAGTACCTCTTCGAGAAGACCTTCAACATGAACTTCATCTCGCCCTTCACCCAGTACAACAGCACCAGGGCCTCTAGCGTGGACATTGAAGGGGCCACCCAGCAGCGGATCGAGGCTCTCAATTTTTTAGACATGGACCTCTACGATTATGCAAAAGACCTTTTCCTCCAGCGGTACCAGTTCACGAGGCAGAAGGAGCACCAGGAAGCCCGACGGAAACGGCAGGAGCAGCGGAAGGCCTCGCGGGCCAAGCTGGGCCACAGCAGAGAGCAGGAGGGCCGAAATGCGACCGCAGATTACATTGGGAACGTGGAACAGTGGCGATAAGGAGGAGGGTGCAGCGAGAAAAGGCACAGAGCTAGGCGCTTCTCCGGGAGAGGTGGGGAAGAGGGGTGGCGGCCTTTTGCATTCAGTGTTGTGCTGTAGATGGGTGAACCTTTTAATCTGTGTTGTCTCGGATCTGTCCCTGTCAAGAAAGACAGAAAGCTTTGGCCCCTTGGGCTGCCGTCATTCTCGTTCACCATGACGACTTGGCAGATCCCAAGTGGGAACAGCGAAGGCTGAGCTACAAAGACTACGATGGGGGGAAGGAGGAGGAGAGGGTTTCCTGAGATGGGGGCATCACAGGGGAGCCATTTCTGCATTTTATAAGGTGGCCTGAGATTCTGGTACTTTTTTTATAGGTCTCGGAGATCAGAAAACACCTGGGAAGGGCGTATTAAATTGGGCAGTGTGTAGCTGCAGGTCCATTCTTTTATTCCTTTCAGCATCGCCAATTGGAGAAGCCAACAGTTCCATTTAATACTCTTTCTTTAATATTTTTCATTGCAAAAATGCTGTGCCGTAGCCCATGGGCCTCCTACTTCTGGGACTTCCTTTAAGCTCCACCCCTGACATCCGGCCGACCCAGGTAGAAGGGGCTGCCTCTGGCCACTAAAAGCATGGCCAGGGGTGGCCAAAGCGAGTCCAAAGACAGGATGACCTGCCTGGGTCAGCACTGCCACTCAAACTGTCATGTCACGTCAAGCCTCTTCTTGCTTCCAAGGTCTGTTATCCTATTGGGGAATGAATGGATTCAACAACCACAATTCTGTGGGAATTAAAAATCTAATTGTCACACACACACACACACACACACACATATGCCCACCCGAAGTGATTTTCAAAACTCCAGAAAGAACCGTTTCAGATCCTTTTTTAACAAGAGTTTGGCGTTGGCTTCATCAACATCTCTTGAAAGGCTGCAAACGGCCACAAAACAAAGAAGACCAGTTGGGGTTGAGGCGTAGAGGGAAAAAGCTTTAGAAGAAGAAGAAAACTGTTGATGAGTGTCTAGTGTCAATTGGCTTTTAGCGAAGAGGGGAAGATTTGGCCTATAAATATTTAATTGCTTTTTAAAAAGAGAAATCTTGACGGCCGCTGCTGTTGATGGAACTCAAGCTTATTTCATTTCAGGGGAGAGAGAACGAGAGAGAGAACGAGAGAGAGAGAGAGAGAGAAAGCCCCAATGGTTTGCTGAGTGTTGGCACCAGAAAATGCAACCCTAGGCTTCTCTAAGGACGTTGAATTTTAATGCATTTTAAAAAGTATACGGGAATATTTGAACATTTTTTTTGGGAAAGAAAGATGGCCTTCCATGCCCTCTGTCCATTTTAATAACAATTCTTGCAACGTGTGTATTCTTTTAGAAGGGGGGGGGGCAAAGCTTTTATCCTGCAAAAATTCTCTTTTTTTTATTATGGCAGAAGCTGTTTCCCAATAGAAGCTGCCTTCATCAGCAGGGGGGCAACTCCAGCATTCGTTTTGCTTTTCAAACACTTTTTATGACCCAGTGTGACATTTGAGCATTTGGGAGGATGGCTTCCTGTTATCATCAGATTTGGGGGGTGGGGTGGAAATAATAATGTGATATTGCTTGTACTTGGGACCAATTCAATAAGGCAGTTACGAATCTGGCTTTGCAAGGAGGAGAACGCCAATAGAAAAGGATTGCTTTCCTCAGGATTGGACTTACAAGGTCTTGAGGAACTGTCCTCTGCTCTTGTAGCTACTATGGAGGGTGCTTGTTCTGATTTAGGTTGTGAAATCTGGGGAGGGGAGGGAAAGAGAGAGGAGAGTTGGGTCTCCAACAGTGGCGACTTTGTAACTTGTGGACTTCAACTCCCAGAATTCCTCAGCCAACATGGCTGGCTGAAGAATTCTGGGAGTTGAAGTCCACAAGTTGTATAGTTGCCAAGACTGGCTGAGGAATTCTGGGAGTTGAAGTCTACAAGTCGTCAAGTTGCCAAGGTGGGAGGCCCCTGGACTGTGGGAATTATTTGCCAAGTTAGGTAGTGGGCCGTATCTTGGGCGTATGCAGACACAATCCTGCATTTGTGCACCCAACACCCAATGAATATGGGGGTGTAAGAAAATTGCCCTAACCCATACATCTGTCAACAAAGGAAAGACGGCCACCTACGTGTTGTGTCCGATGGCACACACCAATTTTTGAGTAAAGGGAGTTCAGTTTTTCTGGTTACGCTGGTACGGTGATGGTTGTCTTGATGGAAAGGTAGGAAGTCCTGAAACACCAACTGAACTGATAAACCCAGGAAGGTGTCAGCAGAGCCTTTGAGGACGTAGAGTCAAAGCTGTCCCTAAAAATCATAAAGATTCTTAAATGTCCAGTGGTGTCATTTCCAGGGGTCTAAACCCAGTGAATTATGGACCCATCCGCCTTGAGCTTCCAAGAGCTTGTTCATCGTCTCCGCTCTCATTTTGCCATCCCAGATGGTAGGCCAAGACATCTGCGGGAGAAAATGACGCCAACCTTCCCTTGCTGAGGGTGATGTTGGGAATCGTAGTCTTCAACCCTGGAGGGCAGAAGTTTGGAAAGCTTGCCTGGTGCTGAGGGTTCTCCGTCCACACAGAGCTCCCTTCCTTGGCTCTGCCGCTGTCTCATTCCAGGCATCGGGTTTTAGAATTGGATGGAGCATCCCAGGGCCACAGATGTTTGCAGCTGGCTTTGTTTCCCTTCATCCTGGGTCTCTTTTCTGAGAAATGGCCCTTCCTGTCCCTTGTGTGCCATGTCCGTTTGGTATTTGCACTGATGGAAACCAACACACAATTCTCAAGGCAGGAATCCCAAGTCTACAGCAGGGATGTCCAACCTTGGCAACGTTTAAGACTTGTGGACTTCGACTCCCAGAATTCTCCAGCCAGCATGGATGGAGCTGGGGAAATCTGGGAGTCGAAGTCCACAGGTCTTAAACGTTGCCAAGGTTGGATATCCCTTAGCCTACAGCAGGGGTCAGCAACCCGCGGCTCTGGAGCCGCATGTGGCTCTTCCATCCCTCTGCTGTGGCTCCTTGTCGCCAGTTGGCTCCACAATTGATAGGGCTTTCACTTAGGACAGGTAGAGGAAAAAGGACGCCATGCTAGAAGGAGACTCTATGGTGAGGGAACCGGACTTCTGGTCGGCTCCAGAATTGAATGGGGGGCTTCCGGTTAGGACCTTTGTGGCTCTTTGAGTGTTTAAGGTTGCCGACCCCTGGCCTACAGCATTGGCTCCCCATTGACCGGTGGGTATCTAGAATAGGGACAGTAGCTGCAGTGTTCCAGATGTTTTGGCACGGAACTGGCATCCATTGAGGGATTTTGTTCCTTGGTCCCTGATTTTCTCTCTCTCTCTCTCTCTCTCTCTCTTCCTGGTGCTCAAAAATATCCAAGAAAGTGGAGAAACAGGCAATTGGATGCACTTGGACAGTGTGAATCTCTATGCAAAAACTCTTGTGAAGGCTGCAATGATCAATAGCTCTTGTTTTTTTTGGAAGCTTTTCTATCCTGATGATGGTTCATTTCAGTTTTATGTCCTTCGTTGCTGTACGAGTTAACGTAACTTTCCTTCTCAACTCTGGGGAAGTGGAGACCCTTGGAGAAAGTTTCCTTGTTTCGGGCATATTGAATATTAACCAGCCCCCTGCCTTTTTTTTTTTGGAAACATTTAAGTCTTTTAAAATTTGGGACACTACATTATAAGAAGCCTCGAGGCAAAAGACATAATTTGGAGGTCGGTTTGGCAGGCCAACTGGCCTGGAGCAGCTCCTCTTTTCCATTGTGCTGGGACTGAAGTCCTCAGAATTCTGTCCTGGTCGACAGATCTGGAGGTCACAAAATTAGCAAAGTATAGAATTTGGGGCTAACTTAATCTGGAGTTTCCTGCAATGGGGGTTCCTTTAAGGGCAGCACCATCTTTTAAGATAGCAGGACTTCAATTCCCAGCATCCCCCAGCCAGCATCTCTTAAAAGTTGTTAAGATTCAGAAACGCTGCTTCGGAGCCCTAAAACTTTAAGAATTCAAGAGGAGTGGGGTGAGGCACATCTTAGCAAAATGCCCCCCCCCCAAAAAGGGGGGAGGGGTTGCATAGTGTTTTTAAACTGAAATCAATAAAATGCCATTCCAGCATCTAGCATTGATTCTAACAGGGAGAGATTGTGAGCTCCCGATAGAGAAGCTGATCCAATTCTGCACCCTTGAACAGCTCTTTATCAAGAGACACAATTTTGTCCTTAACGCTGTGGTGTGCATGGTTTACAGCAGCAACAACAACAACAAAACCCTTTTCTTTGTGTATACTGTTTGTTGTATATAGGGGTTGGTATGCCTATGATTTTGTCATAACCATACAAATGCTTCTGGTTTCCAGTATAGGCCGCTGTGTTACTGTATAAGTTTACAACTGGCGAAGGTGGGAAGGGTGGGGTGGGGTGGGGGAGGTTTAGCCAAATTCAACTGACTCGGATGGTGTCATTTATCAATAGAGTTGATAAAATAAACTTGAATTACGGACTTCGACTGTGGGTTGGTTCTTGACGTTGCTCTGGCTGGATTCTCTTTGCTGCCGGCTTCATAGCAAACCCAGGTGGTGAACAAAATTAAACCTTGGCCAAATTTCTCTGTGTCCCATTTTACAGTAGACAAAATCAAAGCGGAGACATCCTGATGCCTACTTCAGGGTACCATCTAAGGGACCATCTTAGTAGATCCTCTCTTCGTTACATCCAGAAATGATGCCTCCGTAAGTCTTGCAACCTGGAAACGTTCCTGCTCCTGCCTGGACATCGGGAGAACAGCTGTTAAATGAAGCTGCACGCATCTCTGTGGCCACGAGGGGGCAGGGCACCTCTGATCATAGATGAGATTTTTATTACAGCCTGTGTATTTTATTTTCTCCAGATGGTCAAGTCAGTGGATGCACTTGCAAAGAACTGCATTGGAGCTTAGAAAATTCATCTATGGGATTGATGTCAGTCTGCATTTAATTAGGGGTGGGCGGAGGTGATGATATTCCGAGCATTACTCATGCCTGTCGTTTTCCAACACTAATACCGTATTTTTCGGACTATAAGATGTACCAGTGTATAAGATGCACCAAGATTTCGAAGAGGTAAGTAAGGAAAAAAAAAGTTTTTGCCCTCCCTGGCCCTCTGCAGGCCTCCCAAACCCTCTGCGTGCCATTTTTCGCAAAAACAGGTGAAAAACGGGCCTATTTTTCACAAAAATGGAATGAGTGTGGCAGGGCTTCGGGAGGCCAAAAAGGACTGTATTCAGTGTATAAGACGCACCAACATTTCCACCCTCTTTTGGGGGGGGGGGAAAGGTGCGTCTTATACTCCAAAAAATATGGTAAGTAGCCAGGATTTCCCCAAAGGTGCTTTTTGAAAAGGCAACTGGACTTTGTTCTTTCTTGAATAC